CTTAATATATTAAAAAATGCCGTCTATAAGCAGGAAACACAGTAAATAAATCTATTATAAATCTATAATAGAACCAAAATTACTTTTTACCATCTTGGGTAGTAATAATTTTCCTGCAAAGGAGGCAGATGAAATTCTAGTGCTTCAACATTGATTCTGATGCTAGAATTCAATGCCAATCTATATAAAATGTATAAATGAAAAATATAAGCAATTAAGAGTAAAAACCAATTAGCTGGCATTGGACTTACATTAGGGTTAGTCAGTGTTTCTTAAATTATTCTCCAGTGGAACAGTGAGTTCAATAAAATGGACCAGGATGCTAAACTCAGACAATGAAGATCTTTTCTTAATTTGTAAGAAAGTATATTTAACATGTAGATTTTTATAATTTTAAGCTTTTATGATAAATTATGCTTAAGCCTTTAGTGTCTGTCATCACTCATCAAATGCTATAATCTAGCAATAATATGATAACTGATCAAGTGAAAAAAATTGCATCTAAGTTGGTTTAATAGATCAGTATTCTGTGGTATTAAATAGAGAGTACCCTGGCCCCCAGCTGCTTGGCCACCTGAACTAGTTTGAGAAATTAAACTATCAATGAAGTTACTTTAAAAGTACTCGTTAATGCACCACTCATGACAAGTCAGCCTTATTACTATAAACTATGGAACGACTCCACTGAATGTTCAAATATTTATGTGTGAAGTTTCCTTCTTTGCATTCAGCAAGTATAATAAAATGCTTATGAAAAATTAATGTCTTAGCTACAGCATAATGGACAGTCTCTTTTAGCCTATTTATATATAAAATGCCAAAATAAACATTAAGAAAACATTAACAAAGTACATTTAGTATTCCCCTCTCTCCCCTCCAAAAGAAAACACCAGTATGAAATAGTTCTGTGATTCTGTTCACTTCATCTCCTCAAGCTGCCCAGTACCTAGCTCATCTGTGATGGAAGAATATGATCATTTAAATGCAACAAGAACATCTTTGTAAATGGGCCTGCCCCTTTCAACAGCAGTACAGAGCTAGAATTCATCTCACCATTGGCTCTGCTTTCCGTAAATGAAGGAGTTGAGTAACCAAGAAGCCAGCTAGACCTTCCTCCCTTCCTGAGCTTTGAGGGCCAGGTCTTTGCAAATTCCACCCTTCCTTCCTGAAAGCCTGTACTCAAAAGGGCAGTAACAGAGAGATGGAAAAAACACACACATCCACCCCATGCTGCCCTTTCATCTCTTCTAAGATGGTGTCAGTGTATTTGCTGTGGAAAGTATGCCCAGTAGATATAATACCAAGAATGGCTTCAGGATGACTTTCTAACGGGTAGAAAAATTATTACAGCTGAGGTTTGAAGAACACCATTGACATTCTCTGTGGAGAATGTGGGTTACACCTAAGTGAAGTAGCTGAATGCTCTGGTAGAGAATGCTCCACCCTGAGAGGTTTAGGAATTTTATTAAATACAAGTTTAATACATTATGGGTATGTAGTAAATAAAGGAGCTTGTAAACAGCCCTCACAAGTATCTTTGAAAAACACTTTTTATTTTAGAATAGTTTTGGATTTGCAGAAAAGTTGCAAAGGTAGTACAAAATGTTGTCAATATACCGCGAACCCAGTTTTTCCTATTAACATCTTGTATTTCCACGGTACATTTGTTGTAACTGAGAAACCAACATCAGTATGTTATTATGAACTAAATTCTATATTTATATTTCATTTGTTTTTCCCTAATTTTTTTGGTTAAAAATCACCCCAAATGTATTTATTTAATATATTCATCACAAAGGCTTAACCAGATACTTAATTTAAAAAAAAACAGAAACAAAACAAAAATGACCCCACAGATAAAAGATACAGAGTTTTCTATTCCAGGATACCATCTAGGACACCATATTACATATTACATTGACTAAATGTAATGTTTCTTTAAGTCTCCTCTAGATTTGCACAAGAATTTTTAAATTATTGGAATGCAGTAGTAGATGCTTTGGGATTTTATTATGTATTCAATAATTAAGGAAGAATTAACCCGTGGTCAGAGACTCTGAATTCTGATCTCTTTTCCCCTCTGGGAGGAACCCCCCTCATTTCCCCGTTCAAAATATTTTAGTTGATGGTGGTTTGAGGAAATATCCTTTCTGGGGCTAGGGTAACTTTAAAGAGAACTAGTAATTTACCCACCTTGCCAGAATTATTTGCTTTCCTCTAAAAATTTATTGTTATTATATCCATGGGAAGAACAGGAAAATTTGTGGCTATGAAGGTTATAGCATGGAGGAGAAGGCTCTTTAAAAAAATTAGATGTTTTTAAGTTACAAAAACCTAATAACAGTGAGCAGGTTCACAGAGCAGGCTGAATGCAGCAGTCTGTTTATTTTTTAACTTATTTTAACCCATAACTAAAGATAATGTGCAATTTTGTGTATGTACATCTAACCATAACTGTAAGAGAAAGAACATGAAATGAACTACCAAGAAAAAGAATCTGAGGAAGAAAGCAGTCATTGTTTTGTTCGCTCTTAGAGCTTGTTTTAAAGGCAACAATGGAGGGAGGAGGGTGTGGCTCAGTGGTAGAGCACATGCTTAGCATGCACGAGGTCCTGGGTTCAATCTCCAGTACCTCCATCAAAAATGAATAAAACCTAATTACCTACCTTCCTCCAAAGAACCATCACCACTAACAAAAAGTAATAAAATTTTAAAACATTGAATTAAAAAAAGAATAGAAAGCAGTTCTTAAAAAATTAAAAATAAAATAAAGATGACAATGGAAAGTTCTGTTGAACTTCAGCGTTCATTGCTCTCGTTTCCTGCTTTATAAAAGGAGGTTAAGCCTCGCCTGCTTAACTGCAGGAATATTTTAAGTTAACTAAGGTTTTCCATTTCTTCTGCCACCTCCCTAGCTCAGGCTCTGATCACTCATGTCTGGAACTGTTACAGTAACCTCATTCCATTCAAGCCTCTGTGTGTCTGTTCTCTAAACCGCCTGTTAGCAAACCCCTCTGGTCCCCCCTACACATCACTGCTAGATTCAGCCTCCCCAAACACCATTTTTATGGGCTCAGTATCCTATTCAGAAATCTTTAGGGGCTTCCCATTTCCTAGAGAAGAAAACTGAGAATTGTTGGACTGGCATTTGAAGTACCTTTTATAGAGAATTAGTTCCAACTTAAAATGTGCAACATTATTTCCCTCCATGCTGGTATACTAAAGTCCCCATACCAGTCAGATAATTTTTTCTTTCAGTTCCTTCATTAAATTAATCATATAATCATTCTAACAAACAATTATTTTGCACCTTCATTACCAGATGATTTCCTGCTTAGGCTCCCTGCTTAGTTTCTTTCTTGACTCTGATTTCAAATTTCTGACCTTTCTCGAAAAGGCCCAGGGAAAATCCTACCTTCATTTCCCTTAAACTGCTCCCTACCCACTCCATCTGGGGATCTCTCTCCAGAGAACTCCTGATTTTAATATGCACTTTTCATATGTTAGTGTGTTCCCTCGTGGTCTTATTTTCTATATATTCCTACTTAGAGTATCAAATTGGGATCATACCAATTAAATGATCTTTCGTTTTTTTTTCACTTAACGGATCATGAACATTTTCATATCATTCAATATTTTTGAAATAGGGTTTTTAATGGTTTCATAGATGGGCTATATCAAATTCTGCCTTGTTTTAAGGCATTTACATATAGCTGGACATTTGAGTTGTTTACATTTTTTTGCTATAATAGGTAATGCTGTCCTGAACATTCTTACTCATCTTTAATTACGTACTTGAGATAAATTCCCGAGAGGGCTTATGAAGCGTGATTTTTATTAGGTTCTTGATGTGTATTTCCAAATTACCTTCCAGATGTTACGCCAAGTTTTTCTTTTATCTGTAGTGTATGAACATGTCCATTTTATCACTGTCTCATCAGCATTGGGTGTTATAATTTGCTGATACTGTTTGTTAATTAAGCAATTAAAACCTATCTCACTGTAGTTTTATATATTCTGATTATAAGACCTTTATCAGAGAGGCGTTTTGAAAATATTTTCTCCCAGTCTGTGATCTGTCTTTTCATCACTTTAACAGTATCTTTCTAAAAGAATAAGCTTTTAATTTTGATAATTTTCAGTATATCGAATTACCATGGACTTTGCTTTTGGTTTGATACCTAAGAAATCCTTGCTTACCCCCAAATCACAAGGATTTTCTGCTATGTTTTCTTCAGAAATTTTATAGTTTTAGGTGTTATTCTTAAGTCTCTGATCCATTTTCAGTTAATTTTTGCATATCGTATGAGATATGGATTGAGGTTCATTTTTTTGGTGATAATTAGTAAAAGATCAGGAATCTTTCCAGGTAAGGAAATTAGAATAACTCATCTATCAAAAGCATATTTGTTGTTTAAAGAAAAGGGGGAAAGTTTGCCTTTAATGTAATACAGGGTAAATTATTGCTCCTGATTCATATCTTGAGTCTAATTTGGGGCAGACCTCAGATTATTATATGAATGATTATTGGTAGGAAACCATACACTGTATTATCGCATAGGTTATTTGTTTGGAGGATGGATCTGCTTATTTCACCTAAGCAATTAATGTAAGTGTATTAATTAATGTATTTGTTTATATAACAAGCATTTTTGAGGATCTAAGAAGTACAAAGCACAGTACTTCTTAGATGGTGTGGGAAAATAATTTCTTTACGGTCCATGAACAACCTGTATGCAGTTTACATCTGATTTTTAGAATGAAAGAGAGTCAAAGTAACTAACTTTCTTAAACCACAAAGTTGTTGTTCTGTCAGGAACATCTGTCAACAGTAAGAAACTCGGGCACTTGGGAATGTCCGAATAAAGATATTTAAGGAGAGGACTGTGATAAATAAGAAAACTTTGTAGTGAGTATGGTTTGGAGTTCATTGTGAGATAAAATTTCTCAGTAGTTGGCGGTGCCACCCATGCTTTTTATTCGCCTGTTTTTCCCTGTAGGTCATCAGCTCAATGAGCTCCCTTTCTGAGTACTGCCTGCCTTCTATTCTGCGGACATTGTTTGACTGGTACAAAAGGCAAAATGGCATTGAGGATGAATCACATGAATACAGACCAAGAACAAGCAATAAATCCAAAAGGTACGTTTCTTTTGTGTCAGGATTATGAGGATTATAGTCTTTCTTTCTTTTTTCCTTTCCTTCCTTTCTTTCTTTCCTTTTTTTTCCTCTTTTTTTCCTTCTTATTTCTTAAGAAACAAATCAAAGTGGGAGTTACAAGGCATGTAGGTCCTCCTACTTCTTCACGTACAAGCACACGCTGCAGGGGCCCCCTTGTCTGGCAGGTAGCACATTTGGGATATTAGTCACTGTCAGCTGCCACAGGTTGAAAATGCATATTCAGCCTTATTCTGACTTCGGTGAGGGAAAGGTGTAAAGGACCCCTCTGCCTGCTTCTCTCCTGGGCCCTCTCTCCTCCAGTCTGCATCTAGAGGCAGAAGGTCGGTGGCAGGCCCTGTACAACACGGCCTAGATGTTTGGGTTCACATTCGTAATCTCGATTGCCCGGTCCTGGTGCTGCCACTGATTAGCCACTTGACTTTGGGCAACTCGCCACCTCTTGCTACCTCAGTCTCTTTATGAGCAAAGCAGGGATGTCAGATTACCCCAACTCTAACTTCCCTTCCAGCTGAGAATTGTGTTTATTCGTTCTGTGGTTCCCTTCTCTTGTGATTTTGACAAGTGGGACTTGCTGCTACAGGAGCTGTTCAGCAGCCATAAAACTTCAAATTCTCATTCTGTCCAATGCAGGTGTGTCCCTGAGAATTTTAGGTAAATACATACAATTTCATATGTTTGAAATCAACCTATTATAACAAGGGAGCAAATATAAGAAAATTTAATATGTTTACTTTTTTAAAAAAACAGATTATTTTAAAAGCAGATTTCTCCACATGAATTGATTATACTTTTTTATGCTTTTAAAGACAATAAACTGAAGTTAATCACTTAGAAGAATCAGATATTAACTACTGCTTGTGAGTGTTTTATCCCTGTCCTTTTTCTTAACACCCCTAATACTTCTTAAAAATATATAAAGTTCTTTTGAAATTGAAGACCTATCATTTTACCAAATTACGTTTCACGTGAACTTATAGTTCCGTTTTGTAATATGTACAAAGGCTTGAGTTTATGCAAGATTCAACCATTTGCTTATCACTTTGGGGGAGAGATTAATAACTTTTTCATATTGAATAATACTTTTAGTTGAATGCTTTTTTAAAAAATTGAGGTATAATTTACATACCATAAAATGCTTCCTTTTAAAGTGTTTAATTCCGTGTTTTTAGTATATTCACAGAGTAGTACAGCCATCACCACTGTCTAATTCAGGAATATTTTTATCACCTCAAATTTGGGGGGATGATAATTTTTATCACCCCATACTAATTGCCAGTCTCTCATAAATACATTTTTAATGTATCAGATTTAAAGGGAGAATTTTGATTCTGTGTCTGAAAGTTGTTCAGCTGGTATGATTAATAAATTAATGGGATCACTTTACTATTTCCCCCATATTACATTCAGCTTATGAAAACTATAACTAAAGCTTTCTGGGGATGGGGAGTGGGGCAGTTTTAGTGAGCTGAATTAAGTAAGTTTTAATTTTGTTCCTCTGCTTTGTTAGAATTTAGTTATTAAAAGTAGGTTTTTCATGAGTTGATTTCTTATGCATTGAAAATAGTAGGTTTTGGGGTTGTATTAATGATTCTTTTCAGGATATGAGAGTAATTGTTGAGATTAGATACAGAATCAGAACAGGGAAACTCAACTCTCTTGCATCTTAGTTGGCATTTTAAAGTTTAAACTAAGAAAGAGAGAAATGTTTGGGACAAAGCCAACAGAATGAGGGTCTCTAGAATATGATGTAGTTAATAAAGGGAGTTTCTGTTACTAGAAACAAGAAAAGAGGAACTTCAGGGAGAAGCCTAAGCAACTGAAAACAGTCAAATGTGATGGATGTGTGTTTGGGTTATGATTTCTAAGATTAGTATAATATCAACATTTTGACTGCCAAATAAATTTGTCGGATGCCTCTGGCTCCTGGCAGTTAGACCTCAAACCAGCAACAAAGTTGAATTCATCATTGGAAATGTATGTCTTAACTTTCATTTGAAAGCATTATTAAATAAAATAGAATCAGGAGTTAAATTTTTTTTTCTACCGAAATTTTTTTGCTACTTTCTCGAGGTCCTCTGGCCCCTTTTGAAGACCCTCCTCTCCACTGTGCTGGTCACATTTGAGAGTTTTCCTTCCCTGTGGTCTTCAGGCTTCTTACCGTGGTGTAACCCGGGGTCAGACTTGTGGACACCCTCTTTTTAATGCAGCTCCATATGTTTTCCCCTCCCCTCCTCCATCTGGCAGTAGCACTTTCTAGTTCTGGGGGGTTTCAAAGGACTCCAGATGGATGATTTGGTCCACCGCTCTTCCTCCTGGCAGGACTGTTTGTAAATGATCCTGAATGAATGAGCTCCTACCCTGTCCATACATTTCCCCTTGAAAGTTCAAGCTGCAGCTTCCTTTGTTAACCTGCTCTGTCACCTACTTGACTTGCTCAACGCTGAGGAGTTCCTCCAGAGTTCTTCTTTATATCTTTTAAATGTCACCTTTTTCTCCTCACTCTTTTCTGACTGTAGAGAAAGAATGTTCCCTATTTAACATAGTCTTGGCTTATTTCGAAATTGTCTGCCTGACAAATCCAAATCCTGTCCTCCTGTCTCACTGGTTTTATTTAATATATGAGTACTGAGCAGTTGTATGTTTGGGAGACTGTACTAAGTACTTACATGTTTTATCTTACTTAATACCCAAGCAGACCTTACTAGAATTACTATTATTAGTCCGAGTTTATAGATGGAAAAATCACTGGTAAGTGGAAGAGGCATAATTTTAACCCAGGACTGTTCCCACACCAAAACCAGAGCCCTCAGCCACTGTTCTGTGCTAAGGAGCTTGGCAGTCACTTCATTTGTTCATTTCCCAGTTAGCCCTCAGTCAGCACGTTAGACAAGCAGGAAGTGAAGGGGGCTGGCGTTGAACTCACATTTTTGTCCTCTTGCCGGTGAGAATTCTGCTCCCTAACTTTTGAATGAGTTCAGATGGCTCCACTTTGCCCCTCTTAACCTCCACCTGCCTTCTAATCTTTCTCTCTTCCACCACCCCTCCACTTCTTTCTTCCTCTTGTCAGTCTCAAGTGACAGAAGGTCACAAGGAAAGGGACGAGGGGAGAAAAAGAGAAGTAATGCTGATCCCTTTCTCCACCCACCGCAGTCCTGCTCTGGTTGGTAATCATATTATTTCTCTCCAATGTTGAGCTCTTTCCACAAGATCCTTTCAGTGTCTGCCTCCAGCATGGCAGCCCTATCTTGTGTTTGTTTTCATTTTACAGGTGGTAGGATTCCTGGGTTGAAAGGTACCTTGAAAAGTCCGTAAGATGAAGTTGTAGACTCACAAATAGCTATTTCAAATTGACATTGTTGAAAATTTAAAACATGAGTCAAATATTTGGATCCAGTGTTTGTCCACGGCACCAGACTGACCATAGGAATAACTTTCGCATGTATTTCCCATTGCAATCTTGTTGTCACAGAACTGGTTTGCAGTCCACTGGGGATGGGTCTTAGATTTCTGGTGAATTATATCACTCTGAGAATATTTTCCATGCCATTTAATGCGAGTATTTTAAATTTTACAGTGATGAACAGCAGCGGGATTATTTAATGGAAAGACGGGACCTCGCCATTGACTTTATTTTTTCTTTAGTGTTAATAGAAGTTTTGAAACAGGTAGGTCATAAATTTAATATTACTTTTAGATAAGACTTATTTATCTAAAAATGACTTACTTTTTAAGGCCTAAGTTTATTAAGTTGTTCATGAATTTCACATACTGGGTCATATGAATTATATTTATTGATTGCTAAAGGCCATGTATAGTCACTGGAAGTACTGATTTGATCTTTAATATTCCTTTCCAAATTAAGAGTCATCTTTTTTTTTCCAGATTCCACTTCATCCTGTAATAGACAGCTTAATACATGATGTTATTAACTTGGCTTTCAAGCACTTTAAATACAAAGAAGGGTAAAGTAATTTCTCACCTTAGAATTTTGAAGAAGTTGGGTTCTTAAAGCTAAATCAAGTTTGCTCTTTTCAGATGACCTGATTATCTAACTGTATCTTATTTAGGTACCTTGGTCCTAACACTGGCAATATGCACATTGTGGCCGACCTGTATGCTGAAGTCATTGGAGTGCTGGCACAAGCTAAGTAAGTGAGCCTCAGAGTGCTTTACCGTAAAAGCATATGTGCCCCTTCTCTGTGCCACCCAGCCCTCCTCTCAGGAAGGGGGAGGGCGTGAGTTTACAGGAAACTGCGGTTCTTTTTGCTGTGTGTGCCCTGTCTCTGAACCAAGCTAAGAGCTCCCCAAGGCGAGTACCAGGTCTTTTTCCAATTTGTTTTCTCCATTATCTTTTTCACTTGGCACTTGGGCCAGACCCTAAGAGGCCGTGGGTTCCAGACTACTGCAGCAGAGAAGGAAATGAACTACCCACAGTACTTTTCTCCCTGCCCAATTTTCCAAAGAAGTTTATCAGTTTTAAAAGTTTTGTTTTCTGTATTCCATGAGTAGGTGGTTACGATACAGCATCTGAGTAGGAAAATTCCATTCTAGAATGTCCCTTTACTATAGGCCTTACTTAATTCAACTGAGCTAAAAATGTCCCAGACTCTGTCATGGAAACAAGTCGGAAAATTCTCATTGCTAAATTTATCTGGCCCCATAACACTACTTAGCAGGCTAGAACAAAGTGGCATTAGGCTATTAGCAATAATATACTTCTTCCAAAAGTGATGTCACACCCTATTCACCCGTCTTCTTATTCAACCCTGAGGCAAATTGGGCAGGATCCTGAATGCCTAGGTTAGGCAGAGTGAGCCAGAGACATCACATAAATCCAAGCCAAGAGGCCAGCTTGGAGCAACAGTGATGCCCTGATCCTTGTGACATGCAATCCTCAGAAAGATTTTTATCTTCAAGAGATGGAATTTCCTAACTTAGCAGCATGGAAATACTCAATTTATCAAAAGACAAAATTTTTAAAAAGTACTTACTCAACAACCTTACCTAGCCAAAACATAGACAAGAACTCAGGAAACAGACCTGAAAGATGACTTATTTAATCTAATCCCATTTATCTATTCGTCTAGACTACTTACTGTTAGGTGGAAGAGAGGTAGCTACACTGACACGCCGAGAAGTAGCAAGCTCAAAAACTGACAGCAACAGAGAGAAAAGAGAAATTGGCCAAAGCATTCATATGAACTAAATAATAGAGTTATTCGGACCATTTCGCGTGAGAATGTGTTGTATTTTTTTTATAGCCCATTGTAATAGCTGTGGTTCATGAGTCATCAAGAAAGAAAAGTATGTAATGCGTTTTGGAGAGATTTCCATTGCAATTAAATAATACAAGTATTGGCTTTTTGAAGGAATAAGCTGCAATTATCTGGCAAATTAACTCATGTGTTTCTACCTCATTCCTAGAAAAGATCAGAAAAATGAGTTGTTAATATGTGTTTTGGCCGATTTGTCAGACCCTGAAAATCTCATCATGTTCCTTTGTAATTCCCTTGTGATTATCCCTGCATAACTCTCTTATATAATCATTTGGAAAATTTGATATACCAAAAATGACTTCTTGTGTTTTTCTTAGTTTTTGTGCATTATGCATAATAGTGTCAGTTACTATAGAAGGAGCTTCCTTAGCTACATCGATTTTGAATTGTTGGAGAATGAATTGGGAAGCATGGTCATAATTAAGCAACATTCTAAGGTTGTGGGAATTTCCATATCAGGTCAGATTTATGATCCTCCAAGCCAGTGTTTTTTGCCAACAGTGGCTTTTTTTATTTTCATGATGTCAATATTTGTCTGAATTCTGCAACGGCAGGCTATAACAAATGCCTCAATTTGAACAATGCTCCAATACTTTCTAGTCGCAAGAAAACGCCTTGGCCAGTGGGTTCTTACCATAATAAATAGTAATTACAATGATAGATTCTCAACCAGTCAATACTGAGTTAATCTTTATTGATAGACGGTATAATCTTCAACTGGTGTCATATTACAAATCATCACATTACATTCTTCTCATAAGTATACCAGGATCCTTACTTTATTGGTGCCTTAGAAAATTACTGCTCCCTTTGATCTCAGGGGGGAAAAAGGATGTATGCTTATCTAGCTAGTATAGGCTGGTTATCATTAAAAAAATAATAAACTTGAGTAATGGAGCAATTGTAATTTTAGACTTTATATCTAGATCCCAGTGGTAATGCATATGAAATATTTTCTTCATTATGACTTTAGTTATTAATGCTTAGTTTGATCTTTAAGTTTTAGCCGAATCACTAATTTTCATCTTACTAATGATAATGCACTTAATTCCTATCACCAAGGGGAAAATTTTTTTTTGCCGTTAAGTGATCTCCACCTTGACTCTTTCAGTCAATTAAGTTAAAATTGGATTTTTTTTAAGGTAAGTTTCTTTGATTAAAATCTGGTATATTCATTTAAATAGTGATAGTTGTTTATAAAGTTCATAATTTCAAAACTACTCTCTCTTTATGTGATATAATTTTAATGTATATATTCTTATACTCTCACTTTAATGGTATATACTATACATTCTAAAGCAGAAGACCGAGTAATCATTTAGTTACTGTATTTACTAAAGAATATTAAACACTAAAAGCATGGTCATTAAAAAGAAATTAATTTTTTCCTAAAATTACTTTAAGGGAAAATAGATTTTAAGCACAAATAGCTTTTTGGATTATTTTTATTTTAAAATAACATTTTTATGTCACTTGGAACTTTTTAAAGTAAAAGATAGCCATATTTATTTTTAAATGGGAAGTAGACTTTAGCCACTAACTCACGAGAATATTGAAATAGTGAGGCGTACCAATAACCTGCCTTTTCTTACCTCTCCTTGTTTCAGTTGTGAGTTAGCAATGAAAACACACTTTTCTAAGTATCATGTGATCTTTAAAACAATATAACTCAATAAATAAATAAATAGACAATATAACTCTAATCTGTAAAGTTATCTTTGTCCTTGTAAACACTCACATTTCAAAATTAAAACCATAGATAGTTTTTTTAGTGTTTGGAACTAACTTGAATTAAAATGTAATGTTAAAAAAACTAGTAGGGTTGGGAATTACTAAATTTTTATAATCTTGATTGAAAGTGTCACTTCAGCTGCTTTGCAATGCCATTTCTGCTTCCTGTTCTTCACCTATCTTTGCCTGAAGACCTCAGCTCACCCTTCACCCCAACACAAATCCCCTGTGAGATCTCCCCTAATTATCCAGAAGGAAAAAGCCCCTCATTCCCCAATGCCCCCTAGTCTCTTTAAGTATATTATTCACATAAAAAGCATGTGAAATGAGAGAGTGATCTGGTCGGGGGCATTTAACCTTCCTGAAGGATCAGAGAGATCCAGACGAAGTCCCAGGCACAAGCTAACACACCCCAGAAATAATAATAATGATTGTTATTAAAATTGCTATTATTTACATGGCTTTTAGGCAATGCTACATTGCTGCATCTTCCCAATCAAATTGTATACTATTCTAGATAGGGCAGGGGCTACACTTCCTAGCTCGTGACTGTCTGCGGTAGCTACAGAATAGTGGAAATTCTTGGAATTCAGATCAGAAGTTCTGTGTTTGAGTCTTATTTTTGTCACTTTGATCTTCCAGTCAGTTTCATCATTCATAAAATGGAAACACACTTGCTATCTGACTCAGTGGATGTAGTGAAGATAAGAATGTGAAAGAGTATAATGTGCATGGTAAAGTGTAAGACATCTTACAAGGGTGTCTAATTGTTATTCCTAGAATCACCTAAAGGGCTTGTTAAACAAGATCACTGGACTCATCCCCAGGCTATTCAGCAGGTGTGGAGTGAGCCAGAGAGTGTGTATTGCTCACAAGTTCCCAGTTGAGGCTGATGCTGCTGATCTGGGGACCACACTGTGAAAATCACTGGTCTAGACATCATTTAGCTCAGAGAGTAACAGCAGGAACTCTAAACATCATTTAGCTCAGAGAGTAAGAGCAGGAACTCTAGAGCCAGACACGTGGGGTAAAATTCTGGCTCCACCACTTATGTGCTGTGTGACGTTAGCACATTATCTATTGGAGTTGTTGTGAGGATTAAATGAGTTGCTAGATGTAAAGCTCACTGAACTTGCCACATACTGTGAGTGCTTTATGTCTACTTGCTGCTGTCACCACCATCATCATCACCACCACCACCACCACCACCACCACCATCATCCTCACCACCATCATCATCATCATCATTTTTTCTATAAGAAGTAGAAAGGAATAATGATGCTGGAATAAATTTATATTTTCTGCTCCACTGCTGCCTTAAAATCTTTTCTTACTATATGCAGCAAACAAAAAAATTCATAAATTGTTTAAAAAATACAATTATAACACATTGTTATCAAAGAAACATCGCATAACCTCCTCCACTCAAGCCAAGCACGAGAAAATTGCCGGCTCTCACCAAGCCCCTGACACCCAACTTGCCAGTCATACACCCCTTGCTGTGCCTTTTGGTGAAGCCATACCTGTGTGTTTACCACCTACTTTATATGTCCTGAAATTTCAACTTTGGGGTGTCGAGGGTTGTCGTTTCAAACTTCTGGGATTCTATTAGTTGGCCTTTAACTTGTGGAATCATAATTACCCTCTCTGATCATGCTCTCTTACTTAATTGATCTTTTGTGGAAACTCAGGCTGATTGTCTCAGGAAAAAATACAGTGAGTCTTAGAATGCTTTCCCTGTTTTTTTTTTAACTAATAGTCAAATCAACCATCTCGGAAAGTGTTTGAATAACTTGTCTGTTCGTGATCTTAAGTGCTCAGAGAATTTGCTGCTGCTTTCTGTCCTGGGATCTATTCTTTTTAATCTTATATGATAATGTTGTAATTAATATTGTTAATTATTAATATTATTTTACTTTCAGACAATGCAAATGCGTTAAGCTCCTTGGGGACTGTGAGTTTTTACTTGTGAAATCCCATGCATGTAGTGGAGAGCTTAGTCAGCTTTTGGAGATGATTTGAGTTTTCCCATTGCTAGATTTTCCTTCAGCCTAAAAATACTTTTTTCAACAATCATTAGCCTAAGACTATAAAAGAAACAACAACAGAAAACTTTGGAAATGGATGTAAGAATATTACTTGGCATTATTTGCTGTCATTATCAGAAATATCTGGCCTTGTATGTTACTGTCCACCTGTTCACAATTGGAAACTTCAGGCCTCTGGGGTCTGTAAACATGGTGGAAATTGCTAAGCCTGAGGAAATGAAGCTTTTCGTCAGGCTCAGTTTGAGAGCTAGACCATTCTGAAAGAGTCTAAATAACCTTGGGTCTTCTCCCTGGGCTGAAGGAGAGGTTGAGCATCTGACAGAATAAGAGAAGAAAGGAGAAGACTGGATTCTTTCCCAAATCCCCAGTATCAAAACCTTTACAAGAGGACAGCCACTGTACCTCACCTGATTCGAAGGACCCCCATCACTGTGCCCTGACAGTCCCAGACGGTGGACGCCTCCATTACAGTCACTTTCCTACCCATTATTTGATCAGTCACTCATGTTCTCTTCCTAGATTCCCTGCTGTGAAGAAGAAATTTATGGCAGAGCTAAAAGAATTACGGCACAAAGAGCAGAGCCCCTATGTGGTTCAGAGCATCATCAGCTTGATAATGGGGATGAAATTCTTTCGAATTAAGATGTATCCAGTGGAAGACTTTGAAGCCTCTCTTCAGTTTATGCAGGTAATGTCTTGGGCAGGAGAAGTGAGCATCTTTCCTTAGTGTAACAGACCTGGGAGGTGAACACCCATTCACTTGTCAACATGGGAAAAAGCCCTACTTTTTTTTCCCTCGGTGATTCCTAAAGTGTTTCATAACGAAATAATTGCATTTAAGGCACATAATTTAATTTTTAAAGTCATATCATCTTTGGAGTAGGATGTACAGTGAAATCTTATCTGTGAACTTTTTTTTCTCTTTTTTTACCTATTGGCTGCCATTGTTCTGTCAATAAATATAGCTAATTTTTTACTTTTTCAGATTGATTGCACTGCATTGGCTATGTTAACATTTCTAGGCATGAGAACTTTAAATAGTGAAATCCTTTTTTATTCATAGTATAAAAAGGAATCAATTTTTAAAAATCAACCAAATCATACAGATTTAGGTGTCTACCCAGTGTTCACCATTATGTACTAAAAAAAAAAAATGTTGCTAATGAGGATTTCCCAGAATACACAGCTCTCTTAGATTTTATAGAACTTTAGTATCTGAAGGGATTTTTCCCTAATGCTATTGTGAGTTAGATTTAGTGAGGATCTTAATGAAGAGTGTAGATACAGGGGTTATGAATGTAGGTTGTGCCACTTTTATAATCCAAGGGACAGACAACAGCAAGTCATCTGTTGCTGAGGATGTAGAGAAAGTGGAATCTTCATATGCTGCTGGTGGGAATAGAAAATAGCTCAACAACTTGGGAAGACTGTTTGGCAGTTCCTCAGATGTTTAAATCTAGAATTACTGTATAATCCAGTAATTCCAAGTCTAGGTGCAATATCCAAGAGAAATAAAAATATACGTCCACACAAAAACTTGCATGCAAATGTTCGTGGCAGCGTTATTAATAATAGCATATGTCCAGGATGGGCAAATCCACGGAGACAGAAAGTAGGTTAGCTGTGTCATTTGCTGGAGAAGGGGGTGTGAGTAAGGGATTGGGGATGACTGCTATCAGGTGCAGTGTTTCTCTCGTGGATAATGAAAAGTTTCTAAATTTGACTGTGGTGAAAGATGTACAATTGTGAATATACTAGAAGCTACTGAATTGTACTCTTTAAATGGGTAAATTGCATGATATATGAACTATGTCTCAATAAAGCTGTCAAAAAAAGTATAGGGCCCTGTATCAAACTTCTTGGGTTTGAATTCAAGCTTCAGTGCTGACCAGCTCTGTGACCTTGGACAAGTCACACTTAACCCCTCCCAGCCTCAATTTCCTTGTCTGCAAAGTAGGAACAGTGACTCTTAACTGTAGAAGGTGGTTCTGGGCATTCTTGGCACATGATAAGCACTCAGTAAATGCTAACTATTTTTCTCTCTCTTTCATACTGACGATTTGTCTATCTACGTACTTGAATGACGATTTGAGACAGTACTTACATACATATATAAAATAACATAGGAAAGGGCCCACAATTCTGAGAACCATCAAGCTCCATTGTGTATCAGGAAAACAGTCTCAAAGACTTTCTGTGCTGGCAGTGCCTGTCTTGGACTGATGTCTTAGTATGATATTGATATACTGGGGACCTGAGTAACTGTTGTTGGCAATGGTCCCAATGTTGACTGAAAATAAGTGGTAATAGTGGATACAGATATTAACATGTCATCACAAATACATGTCGCCTTGGACTCGTCCATGAAAACAACACCTAAAAAAGACCACAGTAATTTACTGCCCTAAAGGCCAGGGAGGAGAAAGGGGCTGGCAGAATTCAGGACACGGCAAATCTAATAAATTATTCCCTGGGCAACCAGAAATACCCTTTCATAGGCAGGAGTCCACAGGCAAAGAGATCCTTGCTTGAGGATCCGTTCCAAAGGCTCCCTTGTCAGAGGTGGGGGAGGGAGGCATTCCAGACTTGCTCATGAAACTTCTGAATAATAAACACCTAAAATGTCAGGGCTAACAAGTAAACAGCTCTGTGCCGGGGGCTGTCACGGCCTAAAATAAGTTTAGTGTCTTCTGCCTCTCTTCCCATGTTGACCTTCTCTGGGGCTCTGTGTTTGGGATTAATCAAGGACCCAGGGCCCCCCCACACAGCAGGTAGTCTATAGAAATTTGTTGGAAATGAATGAAGGAACCAACTCACGCATCTGCTTGCTGGTTATAGGTGCTTTGTCCTTTCAGCGTAGTGATTTGGAGAGAGTGAGAAAACCAGCCTTGCAAAATGCCACTGAAGGTTGTTGTGAACTTAAATATAAACGCCTGAATCTAGTCATTTTAACAGATTTTAGAATATACTGTGTTAATAGGTATGATTGACTTAAGATATGTTTACTTAAATGTGTTCATGTACGTTTTATGTGCACATCTCAATCTTCCTCCCTCCCTTTACTCTTTTTTCTACTTCCTAGGAATGTGCACATTACTTCCTCGAGGTCAAAGACAAAGACATCAAGCATGCCTTGGCTGGGCTTTTTGTTGAAATTCTTGTCCCAGTTGCTGCTGTGAGTTACATGTTCATTTTTAAGAACGTCTTCAGATTGGATCAGAGAATCACCAGTTTCATTAGTATAACATGAACATGCACCTCTGTTTCAGGCGGTCAAAAATGAAGTAAACGTTCCCTGCCTCAGAAACTTTGTCGAAAGCCTGTATGATACCACGCTGGAACTTTCTTCTCGAAAGAAGCATTCCCTGGTTAGTAACTATGAGAAAACCCAGAACACAGAACTATGGAGACTGAAATTCCTAGGCTGAAGTCTGAGTCGTTAAGTGTTCCACAGCTGGGAGAATTACTACAGCTCCATTAGAAAGAGGCAGCATTTCAAATCTTGGAGCTTGCACCTAGTGTTGACCATGATTGAATTGTGGTAATGTCAGGGGATAAAGTCATGTCGCCTCGGGTGACCCCTCTAGTCCTAAGGATTCTGTTGTTTATTTTCAAGATTGGCTTCACTTCACTTTTATTTTAATCTCTGAGTGTTTTTTTCCAAACTGAAGGCTAAAGATTATAAAAAGAGTTTCTCTACTCGATCCTCAGAAATCTTGACTGATTAATTCCCATTCTGATCAAATGAAAGTGGAACCAGGCAGGAAAGGGAGTTGGGACACACGTGCCCAGAGGAAAGATTTTCCGAAGGCTGAGAAGACAATTTGGGGGAATGCTTTTCGGACCGAAAAGCAGTATAGAGAAGTCTTTTAAATTAGCACAACCTTTTGCGCTCAGTGGTAAACGAAGCTCTGGTTTATGAATCGGCGGGTGGTATACCAGCTGTAATTGTGATTGTGTGGAGGAGGCAGGTTCCTTAGCTAGCTGGTTACTAGCATGGTTTCTGCTAGTCTTTAACGTCTGAACATGACCACCGTTATTTGGTCATGTATTCAGACTTGCTTTGCCAGGAGTGGTGACAAATTTCCTCATTTGTCTACATTCTGTGGTCGTTGTGACTGCTTTTATTTTTGTTTTTAAATTACCAGCTGGAATTAGAGTTGCCGTCAAGGGAAGCAATAGTTCAAAGTCAGTTTAAAACTTAAGTTAATAAGAAAAAACTAAGTTAATGGATTGTGAAGCACTGGCTCTCATTATGACAATAGATTTTTCGCTAATTCAAGTTTAGGGGAAGGGCCAGTATTATTTTTGTTTCAGTCTTCCTTAGCCCTAATCTGGGGGGAGCCATAAAGGTGCCTGTTAATCTGGTTCAGCAAAATGGTGGTGGGTTCTGCAGAGGTATTGCTGGGTGGCCGCCCGTTAGCTCTTCCGTCTTCTCCAGTTGCTGCGGGAAACATGCCCATTTAGGCAGGGAAAGCACAGTAGCACCTCTGTTTATTCAGTCGTAAGCAAATTCCTCCTGTGGTTAAATTTGTCTTGGTGGGATTTACCAATGCAATAACATTTCTTTTAGGAAGCGTCCTTAATTACAGGAGGATTGCATGCAAAAGAAAATATATACCTCTACCTCTAAGACAGGGACAAACTAGTAGATGTTTATGAGCAACGAAGCCGGCGACATTCTCAACACGAATGTGCCTTCCTGCTTGCTTTTCTGAGAAGTTTGTTTTTAAAATCCATAAGGGAAGTCTAAATCATGGAATCAGATTTCTCCTGATACATGAAGCTCACTGCACCCTATACATAACTCTAGATTAGTCCAGTGGCATCAGAAAGCACTTGCAAAATCCGCACCTCTGCACGGCACCCATTGGGCGTCGGTGTGTGATAAAGCATCCTGTGTATTCTGGCCCGTTCAGCGCTCACAGAGGGAGATGGATGGGGAGTGGGTCCTGTGAGCGTGTGTTACATGGTTGGTTGGGATATACATCATCCTGTGACCTCGTCTGCTCTCTCCTCAGGCCTTGTACCCCCTGGTGACCTGTCTGCTCTGTGTCAGCCAGAAGCAGCTGTTTCTGAACAGGTGGCACGTTTTCCTCAACAACTGCTTATCCAATCTCAAAGTTAGTATTTATCAGCTCTTTTATAAAAATGTATACGAGTCTGAGGCTGGGATGTATGCTTCTGAGAGTGACTCGTGATGTTTGCGGGGGAAATGATCCTATCCTGTTGGAACAGTGAAAAAGGTTTCTAATGTGTTTTTCTTTTAAATATCATCAGTTTTAGAAGGTGATTGGGGCTAAGAGAAATCACATCAAATGTGGGGGGAAATAATCTCCCCTAGTAAGGATAACTTTAAAGGCAGAGTTAAATGCCCCTGTATGTTCATCTATTGTCACATATTGTCTAAATGATTAAAAAAAAGGGGGGGGGATGCCGCACTTCACTGGCATAAGCATGCAAATTGATTTCAGAAGCTCACCTAAACTTTCTCCATCCTTCCTCTGACTCCCTCCAGTCTGAAAATATTTGGGAGGAAGTGTTCCATCTTGTGGGGGGTTGACCTAGTAACAGAGAAGACTTATTTCCTGTCCCCGTTATTCGTGATTATTTGAAGGTATTCCGTTCAAGCCGTATGACCACTGAGCAGTCCTAAGCTTTCACTGAACAGCTGCTGTTCAGGTAGGCAGTACAGGTGCCGGGGGATGTGAGGAATAAAGTCGTGGGCCTGGAAACCGAGGAGCCTATAGCTAGAACAACTGTAGTGATTAGCTTTAAAACTGGCTTTAAACCTTTAACATGGTGAACATATTTTAAGTTTTAGTGACCTGTTGGTAACAGTCAACTAAATGACACCGTTTCTAGTAAGTGCAAGTAGCACATGTTTTTCACACTTATTCTCAGTTGTGTCCAAAGATGTTGAATTCCGTTTACAAGTTGAATACTTGTTTCTTCAGAATTTTTGAAATGTTCTTAGTTGTAAAATCCTGTATGTGCTTAGACATGTTGCCTTGTCTTTTTTTGTTCTAAGACACTTTAGTAAAGTGGTTAAGATTAATTATATTATTTTGGCATTTACCATAATTACACAATAATCTGCATTGGTGCTGTTTTAAGCACCGTGTACTGACTCTACAAGCCAATTGTGAAATCCAAGATTGGAATCATTTATTTTCTTCAAATTGGCAGGGAAGTATAATAGCAGTGAGTATAGAATTAAGTTTTTCTGTATTCTGGAAAAGAAAATGCTTTTCACGGTATCAACTATTATATAACGGCCACTGTCAGATGTTTTGTTTAGGGATTTATCCATCTGTCATACACTTCTAACACACAGCCCAATATAATTTTTTTTGTTATTTGGTCCACTTTTAAGTTATTCAGTTATTAGTTCCAGTTAAAAATGTTACATTTTGTTTCCTCCATTTTACACAAATAGAAAATGGTCATTTTGTTCAAAACCAAAAAAAGAGAAATGATTAAGAATGTTCATTTTTTTTCTGTATGTATTATGTTAAATGTGTTTGTGATGAATTTTAGTTAGAATTAAAATAGTGGTTTTGTGTGGCAATTTACTCTTGTGGCCAAAAAGACCAAAATTTTCTGTGTCCAGAGTTGCTTTTGAAATACAGCAGCATAAGCTTACTTTGAACTTAATCGCTTCAAAGTTAGAATATTGTTTGAAGCTCTGGTCAAAGCCCACCAAAAAGACTTAACAGCAGGGTTACCGGCAGCCCTCGAGAGAAGCGGGGCTACGCGCTGATGGTGTTTCCCTCTGCAGACGTCTCAAGCATTAGGATTTCTCAAAGGGCAAGGAAACGTGATCAGAAAGAGTAGAATGGGTCAGCAGTATAGAGAGACTGACCCACGTTCCAGAGCTCAGCTCAGTTCACCGGTAATTATGAACTGTATGAGGGGCTAGGGAAGGTGTCGGAAGCGGGAGAGATGAGGGGAGTCTGTTGTATAAACACTAGATACAGAGTCCCCTGTTCTTGAGGGGCTTGGCGTTTCACTGGGGGACATCTAATGAAGTTTCAAACTGCATGATGCAGACAGAGAGGGTTGGAAAAGGTGGCAGCAGGGAGACACCTGTGCCAGGTCTAGCGGTTCGGTACCCTGTGAAGCATGAAGAGGTGGCTATTAGGCAAAAGAAAGACACTGATATTTCTCTTTATGGATAATAAATTACTGGAATTCACCTCCTCAAGGGTAAAAGATATAAGATCCTTGATGAGTTCCAATTGGAATAAAATTATACCACACATATTTGGAACTAAGCCCAGTAGGGATTAAATTGGATCATTTAAAAATGTCATAAATTGTGAGGGGGGTTTGGCTCAGTGGCAGAGCACATGCTTAGCATGCACGAGGTCCTGGGTTCAATCCCCAGTACCTCCATTAATTAAAGAATAAATAAATAAGCCTGATTATCTACCCCTCCTCAAAAAAAAAAATGCCGTAAATATACAGAAGACCTTCCAAACCTCAAGAGTCTCAAAAAGGAAGAAATATCTGGGGAGAAACTAGCATGGCTTCAAGAGTATACTTTGTCTTGAATGGCTTCAGTATTTTGTAGAATGCAGAGCCACCTATATCATTTCAAAAGGACCTCCAATCCAGCTCTTTCCTCTCTTCACCATCCCCCTTTTTCCCTGCAGTCCCCTCCCCCACTTGTCTCCCCACCCCATACACAGGCTCCAGTATGACGAACCCAGTGTTTGAACGCTGCATATTGAACTTGGCAGCCACCTTTGATGTGCTTTGTAGAGGAGAGTCATCAAGGTGGCAGCCTGACATAGAGCAGAATAGAAAAGTGTGAGCAGGAAGAATCTGCTTTCAAAGTAAACAAGCTCTCAGATTCACCGCTCATTAACGTCAGTGTCCTTGTTTATCCTCAGTGTCAGTCTCTCAGAAGCAGGAGGTTTTGGTGACACAGACCTGAAGCCTTTATTTACACTTA